TCAGGCTTACGAGCTTTAAGAGTACATTATGCTTTGTTTGGGCTTTGTGAAATACAAACTTACAAAAAATTGTAACCACAGAAACCCTATTTTTTTATAGTAGTTTATTGTTGTTTTACAGTAGTTTATTGTAGTTACCAATGTAATTCAAGGGCAGATTGAGCAGGGAAGCAGGTCGGGGGGAGAGGTGGGGTGAACATCCACTAATGGATAAATAATCTCACAATTAACATCTCTTTGTGTAAGTGAAGAAGATGCCCCAGGGATCCTTGGGAGTCAGAGTGGAAGACTCAACCCAGCCTAACATCCATGAGAGGAAAGCATTGCATAAAAAGTGATGGAGCCTGGCAAGGTGAGGGTGACACGGCCAGAGGACAGATCAGAGGAACGGAGTGCATGGGACACTAATGTGAACAAAGGTTTGTGTTTCTCAAATGCTGAGTCTGCAGGGAACCTTTTTACACTAACAGATTTACTCAGCCCTAATCTGCTGACTGTTTTGATTAGAAATTCTGTGAAGGGTATGCAGTGGTATGGCCATATTATATCCAAGGACATGACATTGAATCTGGCCTGCCATTCATCTTTTCTTCAGTGCAGTTGCCTAATAAGGTTGCTGTAGACTAATAAAATCACTGACTAGAATTCGGTTATCATTAGTGCTGTAGTTTGATTCTGAATGCCCCCTCCAATGTCCCTCTAAAAGGCCCCTGTGTTAAGAGCTTGAACCCCGGGTGACACATTGGGAATTTTGCAGAACTTTTTAAGCAGTGAGGTCAAACGGGAGGCCTTTAGGTTACTGGGGGACTGGCCTTGAGTGTGTCTGTAGGACTCCAGCCTTCTCCTATTCTTTGCTTCTTGAACACAAGTGAGGTGAACAGCTCTCTTCTGCAGCATCCTCCACTATGCCCTGCCCTGCGATGGGCACAAAATCATAAGAACAATCAACCATGGATGATACCTCCTCAACTGTTAGACAAAATAGCCCCCCCCCCAAAAAAAAGCTAATTATTCCAAGTGTTTTACCACAGCAATGGAAAGCTAACATGATTGTTTAATGGCTAGATATTTTAACTTTGCACTAGGGCCTGCTCCTAGATGAAGTAGCTAGGCCAGGGATGACATTACATTTACAGCATGATACCCTTGCCCAGGTGGAGAAGAGATCTTGGTCCTTAGAATGCTATTAGGTGATCTTCTTAATAGGCATAGCTACTGAAAGGAAAAGAGCTGAGGTGCTTAACCAGGGTCAAGCTACTGAAATATCCTGTTTACACCTTTGACATCCTCACGAAAAACCACTGTGTTGGGTGCTAGGATCCACCAAGCTGTGAAGTGGCTTATAATGCCACGTTGAGGGGAAAAAATGACCGACAACATTATCTATACACTATCTATAGAGTGTATGTCAATGGCTCTTGTAGTGGTTTGAGCAAGAACGACCTCCATAGGTTCGTACGTCTGAATGCTTGGTGTGCAGTTGGTGAGACTGCTTGTCTTGTTGGAGAAGGCAACACTGGGGATGGACTTTGGCGTTTCAAAGGACCATGCCAGGCAGGCTAAGGCTGCCTTTCTCTGTCTCTCTGTCTGCATCTCTCTGCCTCTGCCTCTGTTTCTGTCTCTGTCTCTCTTTGCCTGCCTCATGCCTGTGGATCATAAGTTAACTCTCAGTTACTGCTCCAGTGTCATGCTTGTCTGCTTGCTGCCATGCTCCCCACCATGATATTAATGGACTCTATCTGGATCCATGAGACCCAGATTAAACGCTTTCTTTTATAAGCTGTGTTGGGTCATGGTGTTTTGTCATGGCAATAAAAATGTGACAAGACAGCCTGCAATGGGCAGAATCTACTTCTTTCTTGCTTTTGTATGCCTAGAGGCTGTGAATGAGGTCCGTTTTCTTTCATTATTTTAAAATTACATTTAATTAATTAATTCGGTGCATGTGATGCATGCATGTGTGTGTGTGACATGCTTGTGGAGGTCTGAGGACAATGTTCAGGAGTCTGTTCTCTTATTTCAGCAGGCTTGGTTGGTTGCTAGCATCTTTACCCAGTGAGGCATCTTTTCAGCCTATAAGTGGGTTTTACATTTTGAAATGATTCAAAAAAAAAACGTATAAAGAACACCATTCTGTGCCTTTATGAGTCCACGAGCACAGTTTGATTGAAGTGCAGACACACTCCTTCCTCTTGCGTCATCTAATGCTTCCTGCTAAGATGGCAGTGTTGACAAGATGCATAGAGATTGGGAAGCTGTCAAATCTGAAAGTACTCATTTCCTGCCCAGAAAGTGGTTGCTGACCTGCGGCCTAAAAGAAGCAGGAGCTTAAGAAGTCCTGTCCCATTTTCTGCATGTGGAAAGTAAGGAGACTCCAATGCAGGCACAAGGGCTCCCTGCAGCTGTGGTGTTCCTCCAAGCGACACACATCCAATTAGTATTTCAATACCCTCAGGCTCGGCGGCTGCCATCACTGAGGAAAGCCAGAGAGCAGTATCCCTGGGCTTGAAGATGCCCTTCCCCCATGCTGATCATCAGGAAATCCCCTTTAGTCCTTAAGTAAGAAGAGGTTGAGATCAGTTGCATTTCTTCAGAAACAGACCCTGTGACAGACAGTAAGTCCACTGTGGGAAAGGAGAGGGGAGTGAATCACTTAGAGCAGGAAGCCAGCGCTGCCTGTGGAACCTGCATCACAAGACAGCTGAACCTACTCCTGCTGCAAAGTTCTATAGGCAGTGGAGGCCACACCTAACAGTTGCGGTGGCTTCTGAGACAGGAAGAGGCTGAGAGAGGTCAGAGGACCAGCCACCAGGGCATCTGCATGTCAGTGGAGCATCTGACTCCAGAGCCCAGATGAGGTAGACACAAAAGAAACAGACTTTACATAAGGAGTTTCTTGTGAACCAATTATTAACAAGGAAGGTGAGTTCTAAACACACCAGTCTTTGTAGTTCAAGGTACAGACAAAGAGTGCATCAAGAAGCCTTTCAAAATACATACGGGTCACAGAGCACAGAGGTTTGTGCTTTCTACTGCGTAAACCCCTGCAAATGATAGTGTCTAGGTAGGTAGCAATGCTATTATACACTTAAAATCACATACAGTCTTAGCAAGTCGTCTGTATGCAGTCAAGTGCTCTTAGGAAACTTGTTTTTGAGCCATCAGTTCTAGAAGCACAAAAATTTGCCTCAAGACGCGCCAGATTTATCCCTGTGCTATAACCTATGCTTAACATTACCAGTAACATTTGTATTAGCAGAAAATCCTCTTGGAATTTAAAATTATTAAACATATTTGCACTTTTGTTGAATGTCACTTCCAAGATCCCGGACCAATAATTATGGTGGTTTAGATGAGAGATGTCCCCCATAGTTCAGGTATTTGGACTCTTGCTGCACAGTTGGTGGCCCTGTTTGGGGAAGTCATACAGCCTTATAAGAGGTGTCTGTACCATCTCTCTCCTCCTGGGTTCTGGCATGGAGCTATGGGGTGGCAGCAGAAGCATGAACCCCGAGAGAAAGGAAGCTGCTATCACTGTGTTGTGAATGCCAGAAAGGGATAGCCCTTGATCCAGAGGGATCCACTCTTCTGTAGGGACAACACTCAATCCAGAGGGATCTGCTCTTCTGTAGGTCTCTCTATGGTGGGTGTTTATAAGCTTGCCTGGTGACAGGAAACACAGTTATTTTTCAAAGGCCCATTGCTATTGTCTAGTACAAATAGATTTGTTTAGATTACATCTGGTGATTTTTAATGTTATTTTTGGAAAGCCAATATGTACATATATTTAAAAGACAAAAACCTTTATAAAAACACATTTCTATCTATCTTGGTCTCATTTTTGTGGCTGTAGAAGAATGCCATGCTTGTAATCTTATTGGTCAAAAGGCTGAGGCAGAAGAATTACTGGAAGTTACAAGCCCAATTTGGCTACATAGAAAGTTCCAAAATAGCTCATACTGCAGATTGAGACTTGGTTACAAATATACAAATGAAAAAACTAGCATACCAAAAGAATAATTTACCTGGCTTGTGTTTCTGGTGGCTGGGAATGTCAGGAACACAGTATCAGCTTCTAGTGGTGACTTCTCTGTTGTGCCATGACATAGCAGAAGGGACTAACCAGTATATACAGACAGAGAGAGGAATCAAGATCTCTCTTATCAGGAGCACAGCGGACGGTAGCTCACTCCCACAGTAGCAGCCTCTACTGGCTCCCATGACATCACTACACCCTACATGTCACCCGAAATCATTTCAGTGGCAAGTAAGTTTCAGCATGAGGTGGGGAGGCCACAGCCAGCCTGGAGCCTCACTTTCATTACCTCTTCTGATCTGTACTTGGGCCCCTACTGTTTAAAGGTTCACACGCTCCATCAGGGGGTTCTTTGTGAAAAATATAAGCAGATATGAACACCCATTATTGCTCTTCACCTTTTCCTACACAAAGAAGAAGGCATTCAGCACAGACCTCTGCACCTTTATTTTCCTCCCATTAATGGATCTCATGGATTACTCTGCACCGACACAGACATTTCTCACAGTATTTATGTCAGGAATCAAACAACTGTACAAACGGGAGTGATTCTTTGTTGGAACTCTCTGTAAGTGGTGAGTTGAGTCACTATGGAGGGCTGTGAACGAGCTTCAGCCACTGTTGAGGGCTACATACCACTCAAGCTGACTGTCTCCATTTTTATGCAAGTCTATGTGTGCTCGTGTGTGCACTTTGTAAATCCACCTGACTATTATTATGAACAAATGCCCTGCCCCACAGAAGGTAGTTTCTTAATTACAACATAGACTGAACTCTGTGTACCGTGGCCTACCAATTCTTTTTTCCACAATGCTCAGTGACTGGGGATCAGGACCCATCACTCTTAAAAATGATCATAGCAGGCAAAAATATGATACCCCAAAATAGACTTGTGAGAAACTGCAGACCCAGCAGTGACTCGGGCAGGCATCCTTTTGTAAACCCACAGATATCTGTAAAGGAAATGTACAAAGGTAAACTCTGTGTCAAGCAGAGGACGGTCCCCAGATTAACTTTTCTTTCTGGGAGACATATTTGCAAGGCCGGCGAACAGGGCATGCTTCCTTCCCATGCCGCCATATCTTGAGCAACTTCCCACTTCCCCAGCAGCCCCAAGCCCGCATCTCTTTCTGTAACGAGGATGTGTTGCATAAATTGTCATCTGCTCTCTCTTCAAGTTACACATTCTTCTGGGACTTTCAGATACCCTGTATAATTAATTGTTAATTTGTCTGTGTCCATTTAAATCTATAGTCCAGCCAAAGGATCCCCAGGGTGAAGGGAAGCCAGCTTACCATCACCGTCTTCAAGGTATCACCCTGGGTTCAAGACAAACACCAACCAGTTCCACTGTTCGTGAAGATTAAATTCAAGCTCTTGAGATGATAGAACCTCTGCAGTAAAAAGACCAGGTATGGGGACATGTTTGTGCAAGGATGAGGGCGGCTGACAAACGCCCACCGACCCGAGTTAAATCAACTGTTAAGAGAGGAGATCTGAGAGATTCAGACTTCGCTAGTGGTTCTGAACCTGCATGGACACAGAAAAGGGCTGTGGGCTTATGTGAAGTGAGCATGGGGCCACAGAAGTTCAGGAAGGGAGGACAGTTCTTCAGAACATTTTCTGTTTCTGGATCGGTTGAGTTGTGAACAGTGATGGGGAACCCATGGCAGGATTTGAAGTAAAGCTTTAACATACATTCAAGGATAGGAAGGCTGCTGCGTTCTCAGTCCATAGTTTATTAACTTACTAAGTCTCCACGTCTCTGTTCTCTGCCTTCCAGCCTTTGTAATTACACTTTAGGGCACCTCAGACTGTTCCTGTTATTGTGAGTTTAACTGAACAGGATGTGTTTAAAAGAAGACAAAAGATTATTTCCTTCAGGAAGTTCTAATAATGCGTATGTACGTGTGTGCATGTGGGCGGGTGCACACATGTGTGGTACTGGAAATTTGAACCAGGGCCTTGTATACTCTATCACTAAGTTATATACCCAGGACAAGAATTTAACTCTAACCTGTGTATATATGTATGTAAACTTCTCTCTGTTTCTCTCTCTCTCTCTCTCTCTCTCTCTCTCTCTCTCTCTCTCTCCCTCTCTCTCCTTCTCTCTCTTTCCTCACACAAGCACACACAAGCACACACACACACACACAAACACACACACACACACTTAGAAAAATAAACATGAATGTGATTGTCTTGATGTCCTTCAGTTACGGTGGTTTTTTCTCTGTTTCCTGTAATATCGTTTATCTCCCCTTTTTCTTGTGGTTGTGGAGATTATACCGAAGGCTTTACATGCAGGACAAGCCCCCATCTCTGAGCTATAGCCCTAGCATTGCCTACCTATTTTAAAAGTTTATTCTATTATAAAATACTTAGTAGACAAACATTGGATATACCTTAGGTGTGCAGAGTGCTGACTCAGCACACACGGGAGTGAGTATCACAATCACATCATTGGTGACCACATCAGCACCTGTGCTTAACACACGTTCATATCATAAATCACAGTCATTTCCCAGCTCACTGTCCCTCAGCTCCTGATAGCCCCCATCCCACTCTCTGACTCTTTGACTTCAGTGATTTTTAGATTCCTCACTTTCATAGTGTCCTCTACATTATTTTGTGCTGGTAAAAACAACGGTATTTCCTTTTTTGTGATGGAATAATGTCCCATTGTATACACGCACCCCAGTTTCTCTAGATCTTCATTCACTGATGTCCACCTCAGCTGTGCTTCCTGATAACTGTGAACAGTGCTGCAGGGATCGAGGGTGTTATTCCCATTATTTTGGAAAAGAGATGTACCACACTGCTGTATGGTAAAGTATATGCAATAAATGAAAATTTGAAAATAAAATGAGCAACGTTTCTGTGTTTTTTTTCTTATTTTGAGACAAGTTCTTAGGTAGTCTAGGATAGTCTTAAGCTTACTATGTGGCTGAGGATGACCTTGAACGCTTGATCCTCCTGTCGCTGCCTCCTGAGTGCTGAAGTTACAGGTGTGCATCACCATAGTTACATTGTGCACCACCATGTCCAGTTTCTCGTGGTCCTGGGAATCAAACCCAGGGCTTCATGCATGGGAGGGGGGGCAGGCACGCTACCGATTGCACGACATCCTCAACAACCGCTGACTTCTAGATTCTTGATCGTTTCTTTGTTCAGTGCTGGGAGCCACACTCAGAGCCTCAGATTTGGCAGGCAAGTGCTGACACTGAGCCATACCCTAGGCCCTTATGCTCTTGTAATTAATGTACCTTAAGTAATCAAGTGATGCCATTTTTCTGTATGATTTTTAATAAGTAAAAGTTTTGCACACTTTAAAATTGAAATTGCTAGTTCCTTTTAATTTTTGTCACCTTTCATCCAACAACAAAATAATAGTTTTATTAAAATTCCAGAAAATTACTGTAAGAAAAGTTCAAGGTGTTAGTTGCTGGAGGTTATAATTACAATGTAACTATATATAGCACAGCAAGAGATTGGAAATATTTGAACAGAAGATAGTGATTAAATAAATAACCACACAGGACTGCTCACAATTACAATTCTACTTATAAGGGACACCTAAAGAGAAAGTAAAATGTTTATAACATTAACTTAGAATACTAGGACATAAATTTGGGGAATTATGTTTTATACCAAAATATCAGCATTACTATTATTTATTTCTGAGTGAAGGTGCATAATTTTTTCCTTCATGTTATTATTTTTCCAGTGATATATGAACCCAAAGTTGCTATTACATTATGAAAAAAAAATATCTGCAGAGACTGTCCTTGTTTAAGAAAGGGTATCTTTCTAAAATATAAGGTCAAGTTTTACTTTGACTACTAACTACTTAATAAAATGAGCAGGATTTTATAATTTTTTAGGTTGGTAAAATTTTAGTCTAAGGAAAAAAGAATAATCCAGATGCCCTGCAGCAGATGAATGCAGTAAAAAGTGGTGGTATATCCAACAGTGCCAGAGAGAAATGCATTCTTCGGTCATAAAAACCCAAAGGTGGGATGGGGAAGCCAAAGGGGAACCTCAAGTGCATGTATAGCTATGTGAGAGAAGTCTATCCAAAAACACAGCCTACTAGGGCTGGAGATGTCTCAGCAGTTAAGAGTCCCTACTGCTCTTCCCGAGGGCTGGGCTGGAGTCCCAGTAACCCACACAGTGGCGCAAAACTCACTGTAACTTCATTCCCAAGGGCATCTGACACCTTCTTTTGGCCTTCAAGAGTATTAGGCTTGTAGGTGGCCCGCAGACATATATGTAGGCAAAATATTCGTACATATAAAAGAAATCAAATTTAAAAGGGAACCTATTGTATAATCCCAATGATTATATTACAGAAGAAAAGAAATCTATCAAGAAAAACAGTGATGTTGGGGGGCAGCATGGTTAGGTGTGCAAAAATGGGAGGGCCGCATCATTACACCTCTGTGCAACTCCATGGGACATAGGGTGACAGGGCTCAGCCCGAGTGTGGACATAGACTTGGGGTGGTTATAAAATATCCATGGCAGCTCATTAACATATCAAGGCACTTTTGTGGGCAATGCTGATGTCAGGGGTTTTAGTGACTTCTCTGGTTGCTTTGACAAAATACCAAAAAAAAAAAAAAAAAAGCAATTAAAACAAAGAAAGGTTCATTTTGGCTCACGGTTTGAGGCGGAATCTGGTCGATCATGGCAGGTGTGTGAGGCGCGGTACACACCGCATTCACACTCGGACAAGTGGGAGAGGTGCATGCCAGATCTCAGTCTCTTATACTTTTTCTTTTTCCCTTTTAATTCAGCTCCAGAATCTGCCCAGGCGATGCATGGTGCCACCACCCACACCCAGAGTCAGCCTTCTCTCCTCCACACTAAGTCTTTCTGGAAACTCTCGCAGATACAGCCAAAGGTATGTCATTTAGTAATTCTAGTTCCTGGTGAGGTGATAATTAATATTGATCCCTCTAGCAGGGGCTTGCATGGGTGGAGTGCACATGGGTGGGAAGACATGGGTGGAAGGATGAAGGAACGTGTAACAATTCTATTTCCTGCTCGTTTTTGCTGCTAGCGTGAAAACCTGCCTTCACACCCATGTGCACTCCACCTACCCTAGAGGCCTGGGGTTCAGTGCTCACACAGTAGCTCACAGCTTTCTGTAACTCTGGTTCCATAACTCCGGTTATGACATTGTCTTCTGGGTTCCCCAGGTACCGCAAACATATATGTGCAGGCTAAACATTCAAATACATATAATAAGTTCTTTTTGTTTTTGAGACAAGGTTTCTCTATAGTTTTGGAGCCTGCTCTAAAACTAGCTCTTGTAGACCAGGCTGGCCTCGAACTCACAGAGATCTGCCTACCTCTGCCTCCCGAGTGCTAGGATTAAAGAATTCAGGGAGTATAAGGTGTGCACAAAAACACACGACAAGGACTTGCTGTATAAGGGAAAACTTATAAAACTTGTCAAGACTCAAGACTTGTCACAGGCAGTGCAGATGACCTAAGGGGTCATCTGAAGGTTCAGGAGAGCAAGGGCGGAGGGAGAGGATGTGGAGAGAAGTGTAATGCCACTGAGTTACGAAGGCTGAGGTTAGCACGTGCCCAGGAAGTATCTACTGGCTTCCTTGCACTCTGAGCTCTACTCACGCCAAATAAACAGGCACCGTGCAAGGAAGAGCAGGAGGCCAGTGCGTTGGAAATATTCCTGAGGCGTTATGCCAAGTTCTCCTTCCCCATTTCATTGAATATCTAGGGGGAAAAAAGTCACTGGGAGATTGGGCCTTGCTCAGTTCCAGGATGTGGGAGGAGAAACATGCAGCTCTCCTCTTGAATTGGCTAGAAATAAAAACCCAGGTTGCAACCTGATAACATCAGTAAGGAGGCTTTCCTGTTGTTTGTGAAGCTCGGCATCTCTTTACGGTCCTCCTGACCCAAGGATGCACAACACATACTGAAGAGACAGATTCCTGCCGAGAAAAATGCTCATTCCTGAGCTTTCCGAGGTCACAAACATCTTCTTACAGCTGCTGGGGGCCACAACCCAAGAATGTCCCCAGAAGTGTCCACTCTGGACCATAAGTCCTTTTCGGGACACAGTCGGCTTGTCCACTCTAGGTCTCTGGTGTCTCGTCCATAACGCGCCACTTATAAAATGTTTGCGAAATGGCTTTATTGTTCACAGGGTGCTTGGTACTCTAAGAGGCTAGCGATCATTGTCGAAGCAGGAAAAGAAGCTAACTGTGCAACCGATTGTAGCATCTCCGTCTCCTCTCCCCATCGCTCTCTCTACTCCCAGCGGATGAGTAGCAGGTGCTTGTCCTTAGATGGACTTCAGCTGGAGAACTGGAGAAGAACTTGGATTTATGAGCTAATGCTCAGCACAGTGCCCTGAGCTAGGCAGCGAGGGAGAGCTTCCTTCTCCAGGCATTGCCCAGGTGCCAGTCACATGCTGGGCACTGTCTCGGTACTGGGATTGCAGTGTACTTGTGATGGTTAATGAATCAAGGCAAACAATGGCCCTGTCCTAGAGGAGGGGACCTGCCGGTGGGGGGAAGGAGGAGAGACGCCACCCATATTTGGAAACTGAACCCGGGAGGTGTGTGTGCTCTCCATGTACATGTTATACAGCAAGCCTGGGAGGTGAAGAGACTGCATAGGGCACTCACGTTCAAGAAGCTACTGAAAAGCTTCTGGGTTCTTCTGTTGCAGAAGGGAAACAGGTCTGGTGGAGACCATATGTGCAGCACATTCAGAAATACGTAAAATTAAAGAACGTATCATAACTACCCTTTCACTTTTTATTTTGATTAAAATACAATTGCATCATTTCTCCCTTTTGTCCATCCAACTTTTCCCACCAACCCCTACTGCCTCCCAAACTCACTATATCTTTATGATTTTTATTATTGCTTCACATACACACTCACACACACAAATATACATAAGTACAGCATGCAGAATTCATTTAGTGTTGCTTGTATGTATATGATTTCAGGCTGACTGCTTTGTACTGTTCAGCCAGGTAGGGAGTTCCTCCCATGGGGAGAATTAATTCTCCTCTCTCAGCAGCCATTAGCTGCCTGTGGTTCTTTGTCTGAGGATAGAGCCCCATGCGATTTCCTCCTTCCGTGGTATCATGTCTATCCGTGTTGCCATTGTTCAGGTCTTGCTTAGGCAGTCATATTGTTTCAGTATCATGAGTATTTGCTTCCTTGTCATTTCTAGGGGACAGAATTTAACAGTGGACTTCATGGTTCCCTGGCTTTATAACAAAAAAAAAGAAAAGAAAAGAAAGCGAACACATATCAAAATATTAGTGGGAATTGTGTAATGCCTGCAAGAGTAACTCCTCTGCCTACTCCCAAGGCATCCTCAGATCCACTCCATCGCTTCAGGGTGTTTAGACACCCATGCCCCTCTTCTATATACCTTGCTTGCTGTTCACAGCCAAAGGCAGTAACTTGTCTTCTCTAAGCTTCTCTTAAAGCTGCTGGAACTCCCTGGCATCCTTGGTGCCAACCACACAGCTGCTGCAGTGTCTGAGCTTACTCTTGGAACCCATGCTGGAGGCAGTACCTAGTGAAGGAATTCTAGGGAGTTCAAAGACTCTTTTAATCTCATAGTACAGAAGAGGAATTTGTGTTTCAGAGAAGATTTATAATCTGCTGGAAAGACTGAGTCCTCTTTCCTGACCACAAAGCCTGTATTTTTCATTGTGTGACACAGAGATCAAGGTCCCTTTCATAGAGCCTTGCAAACGGTAGGTCCTCAATATTTGTTGAGTAAATGAATGAATACTACAATACACTTTGTTTTGAGTCTCAGTGTGTTAACTGTGTACAAATAAGAGTATTTGCTTCCTTCATAGCAGGACCGTGCCCACTTTAGGTGGGCAGATTCTCTCCCATCAGCCTCACCTCAGTTCGGTTAGACGTAACATGGGTATTCAAGCTGAAGGGAAACCAACACTTTGTTATGGGTGAAAGAGATGGACAATTTTTGTGCAGATGTACTTTTCTTCTCTACGTATGTATCAATGTCAGACACTGTAGCTGACCATCGTTGAGAAAGATAAAACACAAACTCAGAGAGATTTAACAGAAGTCAGGGTTTCGGGCTCCCTTTTGGATTCTTTTTCTCCTGTGCCTGTTATATTTGACAGAAAGAGGAACTAAAAGTCAAAGTTTCCTCATCTCATTGAGGATTAATGACAGGAAATGAAGGCATTGAAAACAGCAGTTTTACTCATGTGAATGCTGGGAAGCCTACATTGGAGACACAGTGTGCACTCACTTGGTACAACCCTTTGGACTGGCAATCTTATCCAAGTATATTCATACTTTGTGCCCTTTGATCACAAAGTCTACTTTTCGGAGAAAGCATGCACTTGGATATAGGAAAATATATTAACCCAAGGAGGTATACTGTAATGTTTAATGTAGCAACAGAGATGTAGCTCACCTAAGTGCCCATGACTATAAGTCTAGGTAAGCTAACTGTGGCGTACTGGATACTGGAAATATCAGAGGTCATTTAAAAGATTTTATTTCAGTAGTCAGCATATTGAATGCCGTCAGTGGAAGCAACATGGGAAGAAATCATGTAAGCAATAGGACATGGTATGCTTATGCTTTTGTGACACGATGAATGCCTGTCTATATATGTGTGGATACACGTGTACATGTGTGTAAATATGTATATATGTAAATATGTGCCTTATTTGTTCATTAATATAAGAAGAGGCCAAGGAAAAAAAGATTTATTTTCTAGATCTATCACTTTGCTCCAAGTGTATTGATTGTATTTATTGCCAAAATCAGTACTTAGGGCAAGAGAAATGGATCGGTGGTTAAGAGTGCTTGCGAGAATCTGAATTCACACAGCAGACCCCAACTGGTGTGTGATGGCTCACAGCCATCTTTAACTCCAGCTTCAGGGAACCTGATGCCCTCTTCTAACCTCCACAGGCTCCTGAACACACTTGGTGCACACAAACACATGTAGGCTCACACAGACACATATCAATAAAAAATAAACCTGTCTAAGAAAAAATTAGCAACGGATGTTGTAAACGGATGGTCGTGGGGGCGTGGGGGGAAGGTCTCATCTTATTTTATAAGCAAGAAGGAGGCAAAGGGCTGTTACACAGTAACTATTCTTGAACTTTGCCCTTACAGGCGACATGAAAGAAAGCACAGAGCAAACTGGTGAAGGAACGTGGGCCTAAAGGGTCAGAGATAAGGAAAGCAGACTTGAAGCAAAGCAAGACCAGCATTTCCTGCTCCACTTTTGGGTCTACAGCTTAGATCTGGCATGAGGGAAAAACTCTCCAGTTCTCAGGGGAAAAAAATGGATCCTGGGAGTAAACAGGAGCATCAACTTCAAGCTGAATTCCAGGAAAAAAAAAAACTACAAAAACCAGATCAATCCTTACCAACCACACCCTTAGCAAACACCTTGTTTGGTGGGAAGGAAGACTAGGAGAAACTCTCCAAAGTTGTGTTTGGTGGCTGTGTGGTTCGTTGCTAAGCCTCTGAGATCTGTCTTGTTTCAGATCTGTGTTGTTCATGCAGGAGAGTGGACGACTTGGAAACCCGCTGTGATGGTTAATTTCAACTCTGAAATCATCTAGGGGACAAGCCAATGGGCCTGTTTCCTGGAGATTTTCTAGACAGGATTTCCTAATTGGGGTAGCAAGATCCACCCTGATTATGCACAGCACCATGCTATGGTTGGGACCCCAGTCTAGAACTGAGTGCTAGCTCTCATTGCTCTGCACTTCCTGACTGAAGATGCAAAAGGGCTAGACGCCTCATGCTACCTCAGTACCTTCTTCACCATGGTGAACAAGACTTTCAAGCCATGAGCCTGCATCAGCCCTTTCTGTTCTGAAGCTGTTTTCATCACAGCAACGACCAAAATACCTAATATGCTTGCCTCCACATGGGAAGACTTCCTGGAAAGTGTGCACTGAGATTCCGACCTGATGGGTCGGTATATGACCCCTGTGGAGGTCAAAGGCAGAGGAGAATTTGGGCTGACTGGGGACAGAGAAGGCCAAGGGCACTGGAGGGCTGTGGAGGTTGGGAACCAAGGTGACTATGAAAGAGGGATGCGCTGAGAGGGAACCACATGCTGTGGGAAGTGTCTAGAGCAAGCTGGGAAGAGAGGAAGACAATCATGGTGAGGAAATTACCTCTTGAAAATCATGACACCTGGACCACCTCCCCAGCTGTGGTGTGAGAATAGATGGAGACCCCTGAGCAGGCTGGATTTGGGGAAAGAGTTGAAAGCCCACTCTGAGGTGAAAAAGAGTGGATTAAGTTGGATCGGAGAAGAAGAATATAGTATCTCATGAATCATTTGCAGGCAGCAGGGACCAACCTCACCCGGGGTTTTGTGGTTTGAGGGAGGGGGGCGCCTTGGAAGTTCCCAGTTTAAGCAATTGTGTGCCCAGGATATTAATGCTCATTACTTAAATAAAGACCAGGAGGAATGCACGTTAGAGGAGAAACTTCATGTTGAGTTTCAGCTCTCTGTGTTTACCCAGGGTTAAGAACTGCAGGGCTTCATGTTGACTCCCCCAATTCTTAGGCCTAAACCCTAATCCCAGTGGAGATAGCCCAGTTACCCGAATAGAAGTAATTAGAATGAGATTTGAGGGAGGGCTCAAATGAATCACTTGGTGTTTTTATACAAACTTCAAACTAGGCTGTTGCAGAGAGACCTCCTCCGCTAACACAGACACAGAAGAAGGGGCAGCTTAAAAGCCGAGTGGACCAGCTGTGCAAACACCTTGGTCTTGAACTTCCAGCCTCCAGAACTGTAAACTTTTGCTGCAGCCATCAATGTACGGTGCTGTGTTATGGGCTCTCTAGCGGATGACGACTGACCCAGCTGTGTCCCCAGCTACAGCCTTTTTCCGGTTTTTGTCTGAGCCGTGGGTGTGGCTGGACAAACAAACACTAACCTTTCTTTGAACTTTTGACCATTTAATGACACCCTGAGAACTCGTCCAACCCCCCACCCCACGCATAAGCCTGATTAGTCTCCATCAGTGTTCTGCTGTCCCCACTGGAGCTCTCCTTTTACTCTGTGGAAAAAGGAATCAGGAGAGAACGCCCTTTGGTCATTATCATCAAAACTTCTACAATCTCAACCCCTAAGCTGTATTCTCCACCCCCACCCCCACCATGCCTCGGATTCCTCGCCCCCCTCTCGTGCATTTGTCAAATGTTACTGAGTCAGCTTGTGGGCCTCCAAAAGTGCGCGAGAAGTCTGATCTCAGAACAGCATGCTCTTTCCTGAATCCCAGAGTGTTACTTTCTCTTCGTTGTGAAAAAATAGCCAACAGAATAATTGAAAAGAGGAAAAATTCACTTTGGCTCAAGCTTTAGAGGGGTCAGTTCATGATCTCTTGGCCACGTGTTTTGGGTAGAATATTATGTGGGGTAAGAGAGTTGTTCATTTCATGACTAACCTGGAAACACAGAACTAGACAGCAAGTTGCCAGGGATAACACAGCATGAAAGATCTTTATTCAGTGACTCAATTCCTCCATCTCAACCCCGACTCCTAAACGTACAGTCTTCCAAAATAGCACCCCTGCCTGAGTCCCAAGAGTTCAAAAATCAATAACCTCCAGAAGATGTTACCCATCCCGATCACAGTGCCAAGCACCATCCACTTGTGTCCTTATTTCTGTTCCCTTTGACCCAAACAAGCAAACAACAAGCAAACTCCCCTTTTTTAATATAGTTGCACTGTAACTCACTGATATCACATTCACGTTCTCTTGAACCCTCTGTGCTGGGCTGTGTCCTCAGTATCTGAAAATGCTCCCTCTGGAGGATGGGAAGAAGGGTCAGCATTTGAGTGTTTGCTGCTCTTGCACTGGAGTTTGTTCCTGCATCTACATCAGGCAGTTTCCAACCATTTACAGCTTCAACTCTGGGGCACCCGATGCCTTATTTTGACCTGTATGGGCACCACACATATGAGCCTGAATACACAAACACACATACACACACATACGATTTTTTTTAAACTTTCCCTGAGTAAGAGTAAGATTTACAGAAGTGAGAGAATGGGAAAAGCCCAGCGACAAAAGGCAGAGGGGATAATATGAGAAAGCTGGCAAGAAACAAGCTAGGCTAAAACTGGACATTTATAACTAAAAATAAACCTCGGTGTGGTTTATTTGGTTGCCTTCCCCCTCAAAAAAGCCAAAAAGAGTAAAAGGGATCATATTACTACAGTCCATACTGATGACCTGAATTCAGCCTCTGGGACACACATAGTAGAGGGAGGAGAAAAGACACCTCAAGGTTGTCCTTTGACCTCCACTTGCTTTTGTGGCATATATTCTCCCCCCCCCTCTCTCTCTCACACACACACACACAGAGAGAGAGAGAGAGAGAGAGAGAGAGAGAGAGAGAGAGAGAGAGAGAGAGGTATGACAAATTGAGAAGCAAAATGGCAACAAAAATTTTAAAATATGTAAAAGCACTAAAACAAAAAATAGAATCCTCCTGTCCCCCAGAGCTGCAGAGCCCGGCTCTCCTGCTGCCCTCAACACTATCCCCTCTTGATGCTCTAGTCTAGCTACAATGGCTGCTCTTCTGTACCTTAAAACAAAACCAGTGGCTTTACTACCTCAGCTTTTACATCTAATATGCCCTATGCCTGGAAAATGACTGTCACAAAGCAGATCATAATGCATGATTTCCATGGGACACATGCGAGTGGAGGTCAAAGCGCAACTTTGAGGGTGCTCTCTTCTGTACCTTAAAGATCTTGGGGCAGGATTTTATCAAAGCTCAGAAGTAGAGGTTAGGGCATTCATTGCCAGCCATCGAGTGAATAGAGGGAGGGAGGGAGGGAGGGAGAGGGAGAGAAAGAGAGAGGAGAAGAGGGAGAGAGAGGGGGGAGGGAGGAAGAGGGAGGTGGGGGAGGGAGGGAGGGAGGAAGAGAAAGTGGAGAGAAAAGGGAGGGAGGGAGGGAGGGAGAGGGAGAGAGAGAGTTGGACAGACTTTACCCTCCAGGGAGCATCAGGTGCACAGGGGACAGAAGGTGCCGGCCCGGGAGTGTTCCCAAGCTGTTTGTGCACCTGAAGAGGCTCAAGTGCCGGCTTCCTCTGGAGAATGAGGATCCGGAGTCTGGAAGTAAGCAGCTGGAGTGCCTGTTGCCGTCCTTAAAGTTTCATTCGTCCTCCAGTCACCCCTTGAAGCTTTAAAGAAGGGGTAGAGGGTGGGAAAGGAAACCGATAAAAGGCAAGTGAAAGAAAGGAGGAGGGGCAGGCTCTGACCCTGTCAGCACTGTGCTCTCTTCCTGCCTAGCCTGGGCTGATCTCCAAGGAGCCCCATGGCCAACTACGAATTTAGCCAGGTGTCTGGGGACAGACCCTGCTGCCATCTCTCTAGGAAAGCCAAGATCTGTCTCGGAGTGGGTCTCGTGGTCCTGATTGCCTCGGTAGTGACAGTGGTCATAGTTCTGTGGCCGCGGGCACCCATGGTGTGGAAAGGCAAGCCTACCCCGAAGCACTTTTCTGAGCTCTTCCTGGGACGGTGTCTCGTTTACACTCAAATCCTCCGGCCTGAGATGAGGTGAGTTGGCATTGGGAAGCACACGCTGGTCACGGTGGGGCGCACAGCTGAACTCCCGGGAGGCTGGCTGTGACTCAGCTGGAGCTCGTGCGCGCGGGGGAGCGTTCCGACTGTTCCAAACAAAGAATCTTGTGTTGCGGGTCAGCTGGGAGCCGAGGGGGCAGTGATGAGGATTGGGATGAGCCCCAAATTCCATGTGCAAGTTACCAGAGTACAGCCCCTCCCCCCAACCACCTCGGGGGTTGCAGGACATATGAGGTGGGTGCTGATTCGTGCTGAGCTCCCTAAAGATACTTGACCCCCCTACAGCGGGTCCTGAGCTGGGTATTGGGGGTCATCCTTGGCCACAGCTGCACTGCAGGAACAGAATATGACTCGCAGGCACAGGGACTTGACATTGTCACTTGACTTGCGGTTTCGATCTGCCACTGTCCGTGCCCGGAAATTTATGGTCACAGGTGACACTTGACCAAGTAGCTTACTGAGCACGCTGTGGGGATGGAGGGAGTCAGAAAGACCAGATGTCTGTCTTGAGTTTTATTTATCTTTATAAAACAGCATCCTGAGGTGGTAGTTCATGCGTGTAACCCCAGCACTAAGGAGGCTGGTACAGGAAGATTTCTGTGAGTTCGAGACTATCCAGGGCTGCATAGCTACACTGTAAATTCTGGGACCGGCTTGAGTTGCAAAGGGAGACCAGCCTTAAAATAAGCACATTAATTAATCAAAACACACAGCAAACAAAAACCTAGCTGAGACAGCATCATGACTCTTCGCACTTGATCTTAAATAAAACAAAGCCATCAGACTTTAAAAACTGAAATATTGCCCATCAGATAAGCTGAATCAGACTGATGGACCTGTGCAGACCCTGGGGAACAGTGCCTTCATCAGCCCAAAGGAATCAGCCCGCATACCCCCTTCCACCAAAGGGATGGAGGGTTTGTTGCATGTCTACCCCCCAGGCATCTTAGTGTAGAACTGATGTCTGAAGTCAAACAGAAGCGCCACAGGCTGGGGAGGCATGCCCAGAGCCCGCTTTCACAGTCTGTCATCAGAGGCACAAGCTAGATGCAGTGGTTTGGGTCCTGGTTTTACTTGAAAGTGTATGTGTAGAATTACTTTCAGAGTCCTGCTAAGTGTTTTGCTTACTGATTTTTAAATGATATCGGTTGTTCGATCATTTTGGGTAAAATCACTGTGCTTCGCAAACCGGATGTGTGGAATTGGCATGATGTGTGATTAGTATTAACCCCGTGGAGTGTAGATTGATGAGCGCTGGCTCTACCGATCCACTCCCGTGTATGTATAAGCATTCAGCAGGTACGAATTATTTGTGTCTGTCAGATCATAATCAATCTAAAAATAACAGGATTGATTAATAAAATTGTGCATATTTACTTCATGTGTGTGCGCGCACATGCGTGTGTACACATGTCCCACCACATACAATTGAAGGTCATAACATCAGCTCTCTCACTCACAATGTAGACTCTGGGAATCAAATTCAAGTCATTGGGTTTAGAAGCAAGCATCCCTATCAACTGTGTCCACCTCATTGGCCTAACCTGTTAATATTGTGATGTTCATCTTTTCACACACACACATGCCCTCATGTAAACACACATGTGTGTTTTATGTGAATAGATTAGTGATAGATATTTGTTGTGTGCCAGGCACTTAAAAACAGCCAATTGTGTAGTCCTTTACCAACCACCTCAGAGCTGAGAGGCAGCTCAGAGGCAGGGGCTCCCGCTCAGTTTACACAGTGCATTGGGGTCATCCCCAGCATCACAGTGAGTGGATGAACGGAACAGAATGGGACAGAAGACAACGGCGCAGAGGGCGTTACAATTGGTATCTCCACATCATAGATAAGCAA